TCTTCTTTCCCAAATTGGGCCATGAAGAACCACCATCCTTGTTGATAAGTGGGTCCTAATAGAGAACAAACTCCTTAAGAGATTGAGGTTTTAGCAAAATGTCTCTTTGGTGGGTTGTGAAAATGACCCCTACTATGATCCTAATGGCATTCAAATCCAACAAAGCCCAAGTTGTAGTTGATGCTCGTACAAATATATTTTGTCCCTCTCTTTTTTCTTTTTTGATATCTTCTAAAGGGCTACATAATGAGGGCAGCCCATCCACCAACCCATAACCCCCTAACCCAAGTGCAGGTAGGATGAAATCCTAGGTCTCCACTATGCCCAACAGAAGACCTTACCTACTAGCTAGTTGGCCCCTTGCAACAGATTTATCACTCATTGCCTATACATATTCTCTCATTGGCCTTGGGTGTTAGACAATATATGCCCTTAACTCCAATCAGATTGATGTGCATAAACATTTATGAATAATATAAGTAGATTATTGTTTCATGATCACATTTGTATGTTTCTGTGAATTAATCCTTAAACTAGACACTTATGAGAATCATGTTAATTAAGAATATTCTCAACCATTGGATAACTTGGGTGTTTATCTTAATAAGACTGACATTGGTGTGTTGCCGAATTGGTGGAACAACTTCTCTCAACTGCTAGGGTTAGATCTTAAGCACAATTAATGTGTGTTTAGATTAGAAGAAACACTATACATAGACCAATTTCCAATTATGCCCTGGACCTTGGAGATAGATGGACAAAATTGGAAAGTTGCATTTAACCCTATACTTGATTATAATACTACACTAGGTTTTAGACTAAACTATTTTTTATGTGCTAACCAATGAGATTCATCATTAGTCAAATATTTTGGTATGTTGGGAAATTTTAGTAAATTACCTAAGTGGGTGATCAGAATGACAGGATTGATCCTTTTGTTAGACAAAGTGAATATTAAGGTTTACACTCTTTCTAATAAAAATTTAAGCTGTTGGTAGTGGATTTTTACTATAGTTGAAACCTAATTTGCAAAATGTGTCTATGTGTTATATTACTATTTTATAAAAAAATTTTGCAAAAGGTTTTAATCTCAACATCCGAATAGGGAGTGAGTGTGATGCTACATTTTGTAGTCAAGAAGAGATTCTTCCCTATGAGTAGTATTTTGATGATTATGTGTCGAGAAGTTAGGTGTAAGAAACCATTCATCTTACATAAGTTTATTGTCCTTAGGGGTTTCTTTTTAGAGTGGCTGAAGCCAAGGATCTTTTATATATAAACGTTGGGCCAAACTGAGGCCAAACTAATTTGGTCAAGGGTTCACTACCCTTGGGTAGTGAATTCGACCTAACCTCTTAAAGAGGTGAGGCTGAACACTTATGGACTTGTATAAGACCTTTGTAGGTCCCATGCCTTACAATGTTTAGACCCATATGGCCTTGCAATGAATAGGAAAGTAAGCCATTAAAGAAAATGGACCCTAATCCCATTATTAATATGATTAGTTAAGTAAGTATATGACAACTTAGCGAATTTGGGTTATAGATATGGGTATCGAGCACCCATTCTTTTAATGAGATAGAATTAGCTGATAAGGATAAACCCTAATCCAAATATAATTTGAATTCAGCTCCTAGTAGGACTATGAGAGTGCTCTATATAAGGGAAGAGAGGGATGGGCAAACCGAGCTATTCTAAGTTCTCTCCAGCTCTCTCTTTCTCTCTTTCACTTTCCTTGCTCCCATAAAAACTAGTTTATTCCAACCCTAGTAGTGACCGATTTCTTTCAGTTCTTAATTGGTTTTTGAAGAAAAACATTAGTCCTAAGAAGGTTCACACTGCTGCATTGATCCCAAGAATGTTGGAGGTTCGAAATGTAGAAATTGTGTTGCTGAACCGACTTCACTTCACTACTTTGCCATGTTCAGCGAAAGGCCGATTCGGGTTTGACATTGGGTGTGAACTACCTTTGGGAGCTGCGTTTGTGGACTCCATATAAGGTATTATTAGAAATTAATCAAAGTTCCAAATCTGTTTCAATTCAGTGCGAGATCGATCTTGAAATTTTAGATTTCAAAATCATAAAGAAATCGGTTTCCAAATTGGGTTAAAAAATTCTTAAAAATTCAACCAACCACTATATCTGATTCGGCCTTGTCTAATTTGATTTTTAACCCTTCCAACATCAGGGAATCTAGTCATGAATACAATTTGAAATGTAATATTGTTGGCACAAGATGCCAAGATCTTAGGCCTATCTTGGAGCTGTTCTCCTTCGGTGCAACAGACCCATTGTTGTATAGTAATGGCAAACTCTCTATTTACCCCTATCATACACTTCCCAGTCTCATCCAAAAGACATGGTAAAGGGAGAAGAAACTTAATGGGGTTGAGGAGGATGAGGACTTCAAAAGACAAATGCTAAGGGCGAGCTGAGGCAAGCTAGATAAGAACTTAACTAACACACGAAGATGCAAATGACGAGATTTTTAACCCTTCCACTCGATCTCTATCTTTTAGGCTCGTCAGAGTTATCTTGTTATCCATTACCACTCTCTTCTAAGTTCCACCCTATAGGCGCTGTCCTTAACCAATATTAAAGCTTGCCCTTTTAGCTTGTGATCAAGAGCTAGATTTTGTTTTCTTGTCAATGAAATCTATACCTCTAAAATATCAGAGATGATAATTTGGGTATCCCATTTGTGAGATGTAGGAAACTTTCTTTTCTCTCTTTTAAATGGTTCATCAAGCCTTTTATAGTTTTATTTGAGCTGATCACCATCTTGTATAGGTTTTCGAAGGGGTAAGGTATCTAAATCCCCCCCCTCTCCTATGCTTTACACCTTTTGAGAATATTAATAAATTCTACAGTGGCCACTCCACTATGAAAAGAGTGTACATTCATTTCCCTATGAAGGTAGTATTAATCTTTTTTTATCTTATATGGTAAAGAAGTTAGTATTAATCAGGGTTCAAAAATATCGATACCACAAAATGTACAAGTAACGTTAAAAATGGCACTTTGGATAACTTTGGATACACATGGAGATCGTGAAAAAGGTACTCATACACATTGAGCATTAAAACGCTGGCACAAAATCTGAGGTTGAACTAACAACAATAAAGTACCAACACATAAGAAACGTCTTTTAATAATCCATATAAAAAAAATGCATTACAATCAACATATCAAGACATCTGATACAGATAATAACTTTATTAATAATGCATCAATCAGGGATGACAGCATATATAGAGATATTAACACATTAAATTTATCCCTCTCCCTCTGTAAATAAACAAATTAATCTACAAAAGTCCACTAATCTGAATTCTTAAAATGATAGCTAAGCACTACACAATTTCTTAAAAATTTAAAATATGTTATTTATTGTAAATTATAATAGTAATTAATAATTTATAGAATTATATACTCTTAATTAAAAGAACACCAAATCTATTAGAATTTCTAAGATGGAAATCATATTATTTATTAATAAATTTTAATCCTAAGGCGTCAGCTTTTGAAATGAATTGATGATGGATCAATGGATTTGATAGATCCATCTTATAGTTATTTCCTTCCATCAAAACCACTTAAACACTGAAATATGTAGATCCAATGAATATTTCAGGATTACTTAAAAATGCATTATTCTTCTTGATTTCAATGAGTTCTCTTTCTTTTTAATGCAAGATCTCAAGTGTTTCTACAGCAAGAACGCTGACAAGTGTCTAGGATGATAAAGCATTCTCCCAGAACTTGGCCTGTATGCTGTACAGTATATATCAACCAATAACAGGCTTAGTATAGCATGATATGGACAATACCAACCAGCATGTGTGGAAGGAATGGGCACCAACCCTTTCCACCCATGTTACATGCCAGTCTCTGTGGCTATAGAACAGGATACATATTATACCCAATGAAAGTATTGATATCTGATACCTTGTTTAAGTAAAATCTATGTCCTAACCAAATATGTGACTGTAGTTCAAATTACACAGTAGCCTGCTACCAAACTACATTTACAAATATGCAGAAGCAGAACTGAACCTGGACAGTACACTACTATTCAAAGTTATAATGCTTGTCGACAGCCTCAGAGACATCCCAGGTGCACTTCATTCCTTTTGGGAACTCAACCAAATCGCCAGCCCCAAACTCAACAAAGTCATTGTATCCATCAGGATAGACTTTCACCTTACCCTTCAACAGATAGCATGTTTCCTTAGCATCATATGTCCATGGGAATTTGCTTGGAGGGCATCCCCACCTAATCACCAAATTATACATTCCACCATGTCAACTGATTATATTTAATATTTGAAAAAATAGATCCTACATACACATGATAAATGCATACCAACACAACAATGCAAGTATAATACAAATAAACTCATATGTGACAGCTACTTTTAGAAATATAGAGTCATGATTGTACAGACACATATTAAGGTTTAACCCTTTGTGGCACAAATCCAGAGTCGGCCACCAAACCAACAATATTGCAATGGACAACGGATATGGGAATTAGAATCTGACATGTAGCCAAGAGTCTTGACTCAGCAAGATGAAAAAGTATATACTACTAAAACAGTTCATATTTTTTCAATTCTAAAATTATGTACCTACAGAAAAAGGACCTAAAATGTTACCAAGAAGTGTCCCTCGGGAACCCAAGGTATGGTGAATCTGATAAATGCCCCACCTAGACACTGTCTATTTAGGAGAGTTCATGCAATACTGCAAATTCTGCCATTCATCTATCAAGTCCAACTAGATTCTTCTCCAGAACTGTTTCCACAGGTATATGTTCAATTAGTGTGTCTACAACAAGGGCTTGCTTCAGAGATTTGCTCCTCTTCCTTCATTTGGGAGGAACATCTAACTCATTTACTTTCTCGTTCTTTTTAAAACATTTGATATCAATATGTCCTGTTTTGCCACATGTCTAGCAAGCAGATGATTTTGTCTTTCTTTTCCACCTCATATGTTTTAGCTAGTTTTTTTTTTTTTTTTTATGTATATGAAACGGTAACATTCATTGAAGAAAAATAGCCTTATAAGCAAGCCGAAAATGCACCCCAAGTTCCCTTGCTAAGCTAATACTCTCTTTTAGAGGCTAAGTGACCATACTCCCACGTTTCTAGATTGCATCCATCCTATTACCAGCTTGGAGTCTCCTCCACTTCTAAGTGCTGCATTCCCCATTGTTTTGCCAATTTCAGTCCTTGGAGTAAGGCCATGAGTAAAGGGCCAAAACTCTTCCTTCCTCATTCTGAAGACACCCCCAACTCACGACAGGCCTGGATTACCTAAGGAGCTTCCATCAAAGTTTAATTTCAACTTGAACCTGAGATGGTGGTGACCTCTTGAACTATAGGGGAAAAGGGAGAGGATACAGCTATAGAACTCTGATTTCTAACTAAGTCAGCTGAGGAGAAGTCCTTGAACAGTTGCTGCACTTTCATCCAATGCAGAATTACCTAAGGAGCTTCCATCAAAGTTTAATTTCAGCTTGAACCGGAGATGGTGGTGACCTCTTGAACTATAGGGGAAAAGGGAGATGATACAGCTATAGAACTCTGATTTCTAACTAAGTCAGCTGAGGAGAAGTCCTTGAACAGTTGCTGCACTTTCAACCAATGCAGAATCTTGATGGTAATGAACAAGTGCTTCCCTGGACTTTTAAAGCCCTTGGAAAATCCTATTGTTTCTCTCTTCCCAAATCGACCAAAGGATGGCTGACTTGTTAATCTTTTTTTGATATCTTTTGAAGGGCTACACAACAGGTAACCCATCACCCAACCCAAGTGCAGGCGGGATTCGATCCCAAGTCTCTTGTTATTCTCCAGATTATCTTACCTCTTTTCTTTGGTTATTGGAAGAAGCTAGAGTAAAAAAGGTTCAGCACACACAAGGGGGGATTCCATCTACAACCAAAAAGAGAAGAGAAACAATCCACAAATAAGAAGCAAAAGAACAAAAAATCAAAAGATGAGTCGCCGTCTCACCACTCAGCAAAGGCAATAGACATGTGGGGAAAGGCATCAATCTGGCCTTTTTCTTTGAAGTACATCCATAGTGTTGATCTTCTGGAGAGCTACTTCCCAGCAAAAAGCCCTAACCTTTGGTGGAACAGGAGAACACCACACTTCTTTAGCAAGAAAGGAGATAGGCACAATAGAAGGCTAAATTAGGGCATTGAAAAAAGAGGAGCAAGAGAAGACCCCTGAAGAGGATTTTGTCCAAATTCTACTGTCTGGGCAAGACTAATCTAGGAAAACTGAACTTAACACAAAGAACAGTTCATCTACACACAACTTCACAAAACTTAATCTACACACGGAGTGAGAAAACTTCACATCATTAATAAAGTTTTTTTGTTACTGATCAAAAAAAAAAAAAAAAGAAAAGCAGTTCATCTACAGACAAGCCAATTTTGAATCCCTCGACCCTCTTCTCAAACCCAAGCCCCAAGTCCCCTCAGACACATGGAGTGTGGAAATGGCTTTGAATTTATTTAGGTAAAGAGAATACATTACCGGGAATCTGTCCTTAAGGGGGGGTATCCCAAACCAAAGATCCTCCCAAAGGACAATTTTATTACTTGAACAGAGAACAAATCTGGTGAAAGGGTGCGCAAGACTCCAACAATGGCTTTCCAAGGGGAGAAATGAAGCCCTAGGGTTGACACCACCACCAAGTGTCACAAATTGTCCTGCTCTAGGGGAACCTCTACAACCACTTTCCTAATAATGCTACATTTCTTAATCTAATATTGACAATTAACCTAATATTGCCAATGTGTAGACCCCCCCTAAATCCTTTTTCCTAGAAACTGCTTCCCACTTCACTAGATGGTCCATTTTTGAGTCTCCCAGTTCCCATAGAAAATCTCTCATGAGCTTATCTATCTTAATAGCAACTTTGAAAGGTAACTTGAAGGTAAACAAGAAATACATTGGAAGGTTGGTCAAAGTGGACTTGATTAAAGTGATTCTACCCCCTAGTAAGATATAATTTCTCTTCCACCCTGCTAGCTTCTTAGTGAATCTTTCCAATTGGAGAAAGAATTGGTGAGGGTAAAGAGCAAGCATGGCACACTACCTAGTCTGATGTGGTTGAGATTTTTAAAGTCTGCTCCAACTAGCACACCTAAGGATGGGATGTATATTCAATGACTAAAAAGGACAATGTCTAAGTTCAAGATTTTATTGGGCAATGTTGACTTTCTAAGAGTCAAAACTATAGAGAAAGTGATTGAGATTCTAAGCCCTGTTTAGATTGTTTCTCAACAGCTACAACACAACTTCAGCTCAAGATTTGAATATATTGGGAGAGAGAAATGCATTATCTATGGTAAACTCCAATCATTACTTTGAAAGAACAAAAAGATAATAATTTGCATATTGGTAAAGAGAGAAATTTTTGACAATGGTAAAGAGAGTGAGAGAGAGAGAGAGAAAGAGAGAGATGGGCTATCATCACTTTGAGTTGTAGGGTGATGGAATGGTGAGAGTGGTCTTTGAGTTGTAGAGGAGCAACGAGTGTTCAAAATCAAATGCCATATCATCACTTTTTTAGAGGATGATATGTGGCATGGGAATTTGGAAATAAACCATAAAGACCAAGACTCTAATGAGCTTCCAATTTCTGCTTGAGCTAGGGCTATATTAATTTACAAAATGCCAGCGCTTTTCCCAAAAAATTACCACCTTCCTTTTATTGGTCCAATTCTTCCTAGAAATCTTGCCCCAAAACTCCTACATCCACATTCTTCATATAAACTCAATAAATGTTCACCATCATCTTTGGCATGGGTTCAATCCTCCTACATAGGTGTAAAAAAACCATGCGATTAGACACGCCATTAGCAATGCAATAGGATAATAGTGCAGCAACATGAATACAAAACCCATTGCAACTCATAGACTAAGGCACAATGAGAGCCACTCATTGCATAGCACTAGCATGTTAGCCTCTTGACAAAATGGTCTCCCAGTGCAATCCAATCAAGCATGTAAATTGACGCTTATCCCCATTGCACTCAACCTTTAGTTGCATTCTCCTT